TCTTTTCTTATCTTATCTAAGCTGTAGTAGGTACATTGCGTAGATTCAATTTGTAAGAGCGATAACGTACTCGAATGCTCATTAAGAACTGTTATATTTGCCAAACGTATTCCTTATCGTTATCGCCAATCTGCTACGAGACTACTACGCTTTTATTTACAATCTAAATACGGCGACTGACGAGTATTTTCACTTTCCTGGCTAATCTAAACAATGTCTAATTTTAGATTTTAATTATAAGCTTCAACACTATTTCTTAATGAAATTGTAGACGATCGCTAACACGTGAATATTATACTGAATCATTAATTGATGTACTATTTTTAAACCAAATAGTTTCTAAACAATCATTAGCTAATTATAATATAATCCGAATTTTTGTATTCATAGAAGTAAAGAGAATTTTGTTCCGAATTGGACAAGACATGCATATTGCATATGGGGCAAAATTCATGGTTATTTGGTATCTAAATATAAATATTTTAATTAAAACTCTATTGTTCATTGAACACTTGATATAACCTGGTGTTACACATAGCCGGAATACTTCCGTTTCGTCGTTGAATAGTGCAATATATTATTGTATAATAATTAAAACATAAAAATAATTATATGCATGAAAAATAAAGCACATATTATTTTAATTCAGTTATTATTAGACGCCAATATTTGCCTTGCTAATTAGTAAGGATAATAAAGGTTAAAATAGACTTTTATTACAATTAGTATTTTGTAAGTTCAGTTGCCGTTTTTTGCCTAAACTGAGATTTAAACATAAGGAAAAAGTGTGAATTATGACTTTTTGTTTGGTTGGGAAGCGTCCATTAATCACGTGAGCCAGTTTTTAAAGATTTTCGGACCCCCTTGGTGATATATGGTGATATTCAAAATTACCTCCCTCCCCCAGCAAACATCGCGTGTATTTTTAGTTACGTGAAAAAACTATAACTTTTTTTTTTGAAAATGTTTGAATTTAAAAAAATATATATTTAAAAAATAAATCACGTGATATCTTGCAATATCCCTCCCTCCCCGCTTGATATTTTGTGATTTTTCGTCAAAGCCCCCATCCCCCTAAAAACCCACGTGATTAATGGACGCCCCCTTAAAGGACTCACTTTGAATAATGCATTACAATCGAAGAAATATTCAATTTGAGAACACGATGTGGAGAGTTGACCAACTTCTACCACAAAATTCAAAGGAATAAATGCCAAGATTATATTCAAAATTTTGTCCAATACAATTTCGGTGGCGAAACAAATTATTTTTCTGATTTGTTATATTTAAAATATAGTACTAACTAAGGTAACCATATTTTTTATGTAAAAATCAGGATGGCAACTTGCGTTAATTCAGTATGTACTAGGAGGGGGATTTTATGCTAAATGATTTAAAATAATAACTACTACATTTGAAGATACCATAAAAATCAGTTTTCTTTTAAAAGAATCAATTTTTTTTAAAAGAATCAAATTTTTCAGAACAGAATTATGAACTTTTATTATGTCTTTATTATTCGTGTATGTTATATTTCTCTATGTATTCGTTATATTGTATTTATTTTGCTTTTAAGCTTTGTGTAAAATTTTGTTTAATTTTCTTCATAGATAACTTATTCTTAGTAAAAGCACTTGTATCAAGCAGTCGAAAAGTTCGTTATCGTAATTCTTGCTAATTTTCGTAAAATTAAAAAGGAAAGTTTAAAATTATTAATGTGATATGCTATTTTAAACTGGAGTTTTGCTATTTTTGCTTAATTTTTACTTTTGATTTCATTTAATTATTATGATTAGTTGTAATTATATTATAATTACACGGGACTATAGATCGAATTTTGGGACAAATGCTCTTAGAAAAACTCGGGACACAAGGTGGAAATCCTAGACTGTCCCGGCCAAATCGGGGCGTATGGTTACCTTACTTACTAACCCAAGTATGTACTTTCAAACTAATTTTGTCAATTAAAATATTTCACTTGATATAGTGTTACCCATGTCTATAATTCCTGAATTTTGTCAAATCCATATCATTAGATTTTTGTACTCACTTGTCAGACTATTCAACACGAATGATGATGATCATTGTGGGGCTTATATTGACAAAAGTTGCTATGTTAACTATATTTATTTTGCCACTGTAATTGAAGACTCTTATTTAGTAAGCAAATTTTCTAATAACCATTACTGTTAACACTTCAACATTATTAACATTCACATTATCATTGTAATGTATTTATAACAATGAAGACTTCTCCCAAGGCACGCCATTTCGCGGCTCTATATTTTTCACATTGCGATAGGCCGTTTGCGATCAGTGGCGTAACTATAGGGTGGCGTGGGTGGCGAAATGCCACGGGCCCCCGACCTAAGGGGGCCCCGGCCCAGGAAACCGACACTCGGAAATACCTATTTACATTGTACCTAAATTTTATTTCATTTGAAACTTATATTTTATATTTTTTAAGTTCAAAGTCGGAGTTAATTA